CACTAGGATGATGTCGGCGTAAATGTGCAGTCATATTTGTTGTGTTCCCACTAGTGCTGTCAGCGTTAATCTTGTTAAAATGACGCGGAAAATCTCCGTTAACAAGTTACCTCGGATCACTCCGTGCGTGGGGCGTCAACACGTTAACGAGCTAACTGCGCTAACGCACTAGTTCCCACCAATTGAGCATTGTGTGGCACATCCGACATACTGTTTTACTTTTGTCCATGACGCGCTTACCATCAGGGTCATGTTTCACATGAAAACCAAGATGGTTCCAAACCCCAGATCTGAATGAGGGTGGGGGAGGTTCAATTTCGGGTATCGTTGAGGCAGTTGCCATGTTGCAACGAGCTTAACTTCTTCTTCTTCTTTTTTTTTTTTTTAAAAAGAAGCTTAACTTCTGTCTTGCTAGCTTGTGCTGCGCTCAGTGGATCTGCACTCGACAGTGCAGCCTAGGCGGAGTAGTCGAACGCAGATCCACTGAGCGCTCAACACAGACAGAAGAAAAATTGATAAAATAAATTAAAAATTGTGTATTGCTCAATACATATGTGTACCGAACCGAAAGCACTGTATCGAATGGTTCAATATCGATATGAGTATTGTTGCACCCCTAGTAATCACGATCACTTTCTAGCACAACACCTGGAGCTAAGGGGTCAAAACAATCGCATGAGTGCTGCTGTTTGACTGAGGAAGAATAAAGTAGTGGTGGTAAGCCAATCACATGACCACTTAAAGACAAAGCAACAAGGTGATATATACCAGTTTTTAAATTGTGTTGATAGGCTACGTAAAACCAGAGTCATGATAAACAATATATAGGCAGCATTTTTTTCCTGAATAGTTTAGTCATGTTTACTGTCTAAGGACAGCGCTAGCAAGCACTCTCTGCTCATGAGTACCCCCCCCCCCCCCCAAAAAAAAACAACAACAAAAAAACCCGGGAAGTTTTAGGAGTGAGAGAGAGAGAGAGAGAGAGGGAGCAGAAAAAGAGAGAGAGAGGGAGTTTTGAGATGTGAGAGATTTGTGACGTCTAGTGTGTTTGGAGTGTGTTAATGTGTTGTCTTGTGTAGTTAGTGTGTAGTGTTGTGGATAGTTTTGTGTTGTGTGTCAGAACAATGGGGCGACTGCTGTCTCCAGGTAGAAACCTGCTGCTGTCAGACCTGCACGTATCAGGCTTTGATATTCTCCTTTATAGTGGACAGAAATTGTGTTTTTGGAGTGGCACAAATAATTTGTGTGTCTTATTGAATGCAGAACAGCTGATTGTTCTGTAAATAGTTTGAAATGGTTATTTAAAAAAAGGGTAAAAGGTAAATGAATAACTTTGTTGTTTGCAAAACTTGTGCATATGATTTTAAAATTGACAATTTGTATTTGCATTTAAAGTTATGAAATATGATTCATTAAACATGTTTGTGGTTGTTACGATAAAAAATATAACTTTTTCTACTCTGATTTTATGTTTTTTTTTGTCTGATTTTAGATCAGTTGTGTTAATACAGTATGTCAAAATGAAAACACAACTCTTTATTCAGACACACAAGGTTGCGCTGAAAAGGATGATACCAAACAAGGCAAATAAACTGTTTTTAAAGGTGAAATGTGGAGGGAAAATCAAAAGTAGTTAAAAATGGCCCCTGGACCCCAGAGGCTTAAACATTTTAAACATTTTTTTAAAGTAACGCAATAGTTACTTTTCAAGTAATTAATTACTTTTAGAATATTGTAACTCAGTTACTAACTCAGTTACTTTTTTGAAGAAGTAACTAGTAACTATAATTAATTACTTTTTCAAAGTAACTTGCCCAACACTGGTCTTCAGTGACTCTGGCAACATAATAAACTGCATAGTAGTAAGTTTAAGGACTTCAAAGTTTTAAAACACCATTAAAATTTAACTGAAATCAAATATAAAATACAATATTGTATTTGGGTCTAGAGACCCTTGAAACTAATAATGAAGGTGAATTGAACTTTCTTTAAAGGATCAGAGATCAAGCTACATTTTTTAGAAGAACAGTTAGTGAGCACTTAAAAAAGTGCATGTGTGACTGAGTGTGAATGGGTGAATGTGGCATGTTGCATAAAGAGCTTTGAGCGCTCCAGGAGAGTAAAAAAGTGCTATATATGAATCAGTCCATTAACAATATAACCACCCCCACCCAAAATCGGGTAACAAGCCCCAAGAGTGATGGAAGAAGGAGCTTTGAGTGTGAGAGGAACTGACCTGCAAGATGGGATCACGGTGAAGCTTGAAACCAAGCTACTGCATGGTTACCAAGATTACTTGAAGTACTCTCTGAAGATCTACTAGATGTAGACTAGATATAAATGTAGCACTACTTTATTCTCTCATCTGAATCCTCGGTGGTGTTTAATAGTTTGAGAGTAAGTAAAGAATAAATAACAAAATTAAAAATTAGTCTACATGCAAACTGAATGTAAGTTTAGCAAGTACAAACAAGTACTCTGTTTTAGTGTCATGTATTTGTGCTTAGAGAACAAACAAAATATTTGGAACCAACAGGAAAAAATAAAGTTTCCTCGAAGACTATATATTTCTTACTGATAATCATGGGAAAGTGGTAGAAAATAGACACAATTGTCTACTAGCATCTATTGTCCAGCACATTTCCCTGATTAGACATTAATGTCTATGATGTCCACCTTACTCCTAACCATATTTTCCCACCGGAAAACTTTACACCCTCCTGCTGTACACACACAGAGGCCTGAGGGATCTTCCAGGAATGGAGATGCTTTTTCCAATGATCCAATCAGTCAGTTCGTGACGATTTAATATCTGTGGATTTCTAATCTGGAACATAACCTGCTACGCAACATGTTTGGCACAGTTGAGACCAAAAGAGCTGAATAAATCACTTATTACATTTTCAGAGGCAAATATGGAAGCTGGTGAAACCATCACAGGTAAGATCCACCTGCACAACCTTGGGACAACCTAAGGCATGTTGCAACCACAAGTGCTTGACTTCAATGCCACTGTGGGTATTCACAATGTGTGACACTAATATATGTTTTTGTGCAGTGTGCAGGAACACGGGACATGGTCCAACACAAAGTGAAAGTACAAAAAGAAAAGCATGCTAAAAAAAAAAAAAAAACAGGCAAGTATGGAAGACTGGTTTGCTCATGACAGGTAAGATCTCCTTGCAGAACAAAGGCACACGCAGTCATGAGTACTTACCTGCGAGTGTTAAGCACAGCGTACAATCTCATGTTCTTGCAAAAGAACACACAAGACAAGATTTTGACTGTAATTCAGCTGAATAGTGTTTGGGGAAGTTGTTAAGATGGTTCCTAGTTTAGAGACATTAGAAACTGCACATGCTCATCTTAAACTTCACCTGGACAACTTGGCAGACTCTGAAATCCTTCTAGTCTCTGTGTCTCAGTATTGTAGGTCATCTCTCATGTGACAGTTTAAACTGCCACCTCTCCTTCCTTGTTCATCTGTGTGTAACCTCGTTGACTTTCTCTGCCACCAAACCTACACATACTTTTTCTAATGTGCCAACATAGTTAACCTTTAGATTCAACTTAAGGTTTCTTCCGGTGTCAAATTTCTGAGCGGTAAAAACCCTGTGTGAGTAGTAAATTATCATGGTTTTGTTACAAAAGACAATATCACTGTTTGTGGTTAACCTCACAATTTTGCACAAATATCAGCTAAAATCAGGACTGAAACAAAACCAATGAGGGGCAATGAATAAACATTGCAACAGCTGAAGCATGCACTGAAATGCACTTTTACTTACACTAGTTCTGGTTTGTTTTACATTCAAAACAAAGGATTTAATTTTTGTCTGTAGTTAATGAAACCTTTTCATAAAATTGGACTAAATCATTCTTGCAAAACAGGAAATCGAATGTTCCTTTTTTCTAAGTAAAGAAGGAAGAGAGGAAGCAGTTACTCATCACAGCCTCGATATGAAACTGTGTCACAGTTTGGTCTGTTTCATCTTCATTCGTGAGTAAATTTTCTTATTTAACTTGTTTTATCACTTTTATTATTATTTTATTTCTATGTGGTGTTAACGAACAGTTTAAATGGTTTATTCTGTTTTGCTCATTATTGTCACCTCTCGCTTACAAGTTATTGGTTTCTGTGGTTAAACACGTGGTTAAGAGTTGGGAAAAGGTCACTTCCACACATAGCTCACCAACAACACAATTTAACTGCTTAAAAATATAAATGTATGGAGAAAATAAGTTCTTAGCACAAAAATATTTTTTTATAGATATATTTTTAGTTTCACAATAGATCTCTCGTTAGACATTGGCCTTCTAATCATAGTTTCATCTTTGTTGAATTACCCAAATGTTTTTCTTTTTTTAAAAGATCAATTTTTCGTTGCCTTTTCTGGTATAAAGAGTTAGAAGTGCAGACTGGTGTTGCGTCAGACTTACTGCTTTAGCAAATACGCAGGATATTAAAAAAAATAATCTTAGAGAGTCGTTTCCATTGTTTTTGTCAGCGCTCTGTGTGCGGGGAGGTGGATAAACAAAGCACCAGAACAGCAGAAAACAATCCATAATGCAAAAATAAACCAAAACATAATAAACTCAAAACACTGGGTCCAACGGACCCAGAACCGTGACAGTTTTAAAAAGCACAACATGAACGTGTTAACGGCAATCTTCAGATGTTAAACAACAAATCCACAACCTCCATTTCACATTCAAAGAAAGCAAAAGAAGATTTAATCAGAAACACAAAAAGTCCAGCTTTCAAGCTTTTTTAAAATAAGGTTCTGAGTTTTCATCAGCCGATGGTTTGTGTTGATGTCAGGAAGAATCATGGAGCTGTGTTTGCAAATTCAAAATCAATAAAAATGTAGTGAATTTAACTGAAACTGAAAATGTTCGATCTGCTTAAATAATTTTTGGTCTTCAATTTAATTTATAAAGGTGTTTTAAATTATTTTGGGCATGTCGTAATTACTGATTGTTTGCATTTTCAGAAGCACTTCAGGATGGAAACGCTGATCTTGCTACTGCTGAAATTCCCATCCATGCAGAAAGGGAGGGAGGAAACATCACAGTTGGCTGTTCATTTTCTTTGTCTGGAAGCTTGAGGCTCTTCTGTAAGGAAAAATGTGAACAAGGAAAAATTCTCATTGATACAACAGAGGACACAGCTCAACGAGGCAGATACAGCATTGAATATAAAGAAGGAAGCTTTCTAGGAACTAAGACAATTATGTATGCGAGCATCACAAAGCTGGAAGTGTCTGACTCGGGAGTGTACAGGTGCTCTTTGGGCAGAATGGGTGTAGATTTTTTTGATTCAAACTATGAATTTCAGATCTCTGTCAAAGAAGGTGAGTTTCTGCTGAATGTCATGAAAATGTTTGTTCATACCTGTCCAAATACTTACTGACACCTTATTCAAATAACCTTTGTATATTATATCAACTGTAAAAATGCAGTTTTATCAGTTCTGCTGTGAAGCCCAAACTATTACTTTCTTGTACGTGTTTCACTAAAAGAATATTAATGAACCTCCAGTGAACCTGTCAGTTAACTAGCTGCATTATTCATTATTGATAGCTTCAAGTGTTTCAATGCTAAATTTAATTCTGAAACCTTTTTCAACATAAACATTTGTCACATCAGCCTCCACACCAACAATGAAGATGACACCAGAGAGTTCAATCTCCACTGCTACATCAGTTGAAGGATTCCACTGAAGCTTTCCACCACTTTCCCACCCAACCTGCAAGTTCAGGTACATTTATATTTGCATGTATGTAGATGGGTCTATTTAAATTATGCATGAGTTTATTAGAATGTGTCACATACCCACAAAGGAATAATTGTGTTAGAAGTAAGAATACATTAAATTGAAATAACATACAAGTAGAAAAAGTGCAGTACTTCTAATCTTCTAATCTTTCTATTTTTACAATTGTGAGTACAGCAGTTATAGCACACAAAAAGCCTCATTTGAACTGTAGGTATTAATGAATACTTTAATTAAAATGAGGAAGCACAGCAGTAGATAATCATGCCTAAAACCAAAAAAAACTTCTCTTTATAGTTTTCATCTTAAGGTGGACATGTAGGAGCAACTATGCTTTAAGTAATATTAAGTGAACACTTCTCTCTACCTAATGAGCTGTTGTATGTGTTGGTGCTGAATGGATAAGGAAAATACCTGCTTACTGTGAACATGCAAGCACATGAATTCACATAACACTGTGGCTAAATGAACTGGCCCACGGCCACATGCTGTATTTAAACTAAATAAACTAAGTCTGTTCTGTTCAACTCCTGTAGATCTGCTGCTATACACGGGTCTGTTTGTGATTGTCCTGATCGCCTTCTTATCAGCAGCTTTGCTGATTTTCTGCAAGAGGAGAGCCACTAAACCCATAAGTGAGCGTACAAAAAATGAATTTTAAAGCATTTTGTAATATTTTTAAAGGACTTTATTGATGCATTATCCTGTTTTGGAGACTATCCCCAACCTAGTTTTTGCAGTAAGATCTAGAAATATACTTTATGGAGACTATTTGCAAAAATAACTTTCAGTGGGACAGATTTGTATGTACCAAGTGTTTAGTGTAAGACTTTAAAGAACACTTTTTAAAAAATACTATTCATCTATGAAGCTATAATTTTCTTTTAAATTGTGTACACAGAAGTCAAACTTGTCTTCCATAGCACGCACACACACGCACGCACGCATGCACACACACACACACACACACACACACACACACACACACACACGCACGCACGCACGCACGCACGCACACACACGCACGCACGCACGCACGCACGCACGCACACACACACACACTCTCTCTTCCCTGTATGTAACCAAAGCACCAGATGTTCATTTATAACTAAGAACAGTGACTGGTTACAGCAGTAATTACTTGTAGTTACTATTTAGTTAATAGTTACTAGTCATTTAGATATTTATGTCACTGACCTGAACTTATTTTAGTTCTTCAGATTTAGTTCCTCATATTTTACAGAGTTTGCTTCCTCAGGTTCTACGTATTGCAAGGTTTCCTCATGCAAGATGTTTATTTTCTGAACTTTATGTTTTCAGGACCTCCAGTAGAAAATGTGTACTCCAGCATCATAGATGTAAGTTTTAGGAAGTATGAGACATGACTTTCATTATTGCTAAGTTTGTATCAGTCAGGTGGTTTCTTCTCCTCCTTCAGGACAACCAGCTGTATGAAGAGATCAGAGAGGAGACATTTCCACCTCCTGTGGAAATGTCTACAGTTTACACCACTGCCACACGCCCCCAGCCAGATGGAGTTGAAAGCTCAGATGACTAAAGCATCGCCACTTAGAACTTAAAACGGTGTAAGTGGCGTGATCTTTCAGTTCAGTTCTTTATAGTGAATCAGGTAAAAATAGGAATAGTCATTTTTCAGTTCTCAGACACAAAGATGAAAGTTGTGAAATAATTTTTCCCAATAAACTGTTGACGGTTAAAGATATGAACGTTTCTTCTTTAACTGTAAACAGGGTGCACCAAGGTGGCACCGGCCACCACCTCAAAATTTGCAGGCCTTCCTGCCAAAACTGTCCTGTGATGGTAATAAGTTAAATAAACTTGAGCACAGGAGAGACAAAAACACCCTACAATGAGTTGAAACATTAAATCGTTATTTAAAGCAAATTATTATAGATTTCAAAATCTTATTTGATTTTCATATTTACCCATTTTCAGTGATATCGACTTTAATAGCAGGAAATTAAGTTGACAGCGATCGTTGCTCAAGAGTTGGCAGTTCGTCTTGTAATTGGAAGGTTGCCGGTTTGAGCCCCGGCTCAGACAGTCTCGGTCATTGTGTCCTTGGGCAAGACACTTCACCTACCGCCTGCTGGTGATGGCCAGAGGGGCCGATGGCGTGATATGGCAGCCTCGCCTCTGTCAGTCTGCCTCAGGGCAGCTGTGGCTACAACTGTGGCTGCCTCCACCAGTGTATGAATGTGAGAGTGAATGAATAGTGGTATTGTAAAGCGCTTTGAGGGGTCCCGAAAAGCGCTATATAAATGCAATCCATTATTATTATATAATTCTTTTCTTTCACTCATTTTTGCCATATTTTTCAAGTAACCTGTATTTGACAACAGCATAATACAACTGGAAATTCTTTATTTGGTGGCCCCCATATGGCTGCCCCTATGAAAGAATTGTGGAGCTGCCTGTTGAGGAGAAAAGTGTATTGGAGAGGGAAAAGTCTTTTAAATTTGTATTTTACAATAAATTTGGATTCAAATTTATATTAAAAAAAACTATTTTTAATTTATGGGATTAAGGATTTCAAAGATTGTTCAGATTTTATGTCAATAATATGTTGGACGGTTCAGGACTAAGCATATATGTTGATACTAATATATATATAAAAAGAATCAAGCTATTCAAACCTTTCTATATAAACACAGTAGAGTGATACCAACTTAACCTTCCCTTTTCTGTTAGTTGCTATGCTTTTCTGATGGATCTCTGTCACCCAGGTAATTATGATACTCAGATTTGCTGGTAATGTACACACACTCTGGATCCAGTTTATTAGGTACAGCTAATCATAACTATTTTTTTTCATAAATGCTATCTTTTGATCAGAGCAGTAATTGGACTGTTTTTGCAATTGTTGAGGAGCCAGTGGAATGAAATGAATCCAGTTGTGTAATGACTGATCCATGTCATCATCTTTTGCTTCACCTTATCATTACTGATCTGCGTTTCATGTATTCTGCCATTTCTTCTTAAATATGTATTCTTTTCTTAGGTGCTCTCTAAGCGAAGTGCTCTGCCGTGTTCACAAATGAAGATTTGACGTACCACAGCATCAATCCAGGGACCGGAACGAAACCTACGCTACACTCACAGAGATATCAAATCTAAATTACATATTGTCTGTGTGTGCCAGCTCATGCATGCTTTAAAACAACTCTAATGACATGATGAATGAGATGGATAGGAAAGATATACTAAGGAATAAAGCTAAAAGGAAACATATGAGTTAAAATGGTTAAGTTGTTGTGATAACTACTCACGAATGAACCAGCTAATGTAAAGTATAGTAATATAATTATTATTTGAGACTATGATGTTCAAAAAAATCAAAGGAAAGGAAATGAACTTATAAACTTGTATTATAAACTTATAATTTATCTATGGACATATAGGAAGGACCAAATAAAAAATATGTAACTAAAACAAGTCAACAACAAAGGAAATAAAATTTGTTTTATTCTAAAAGTAACTAAAAACACATTTGTCTGCATCTTAGTGCTCTATGTAACATTCACACTCCACTGACTGCATCAGGAGCAACTTAAGGCTCAGTACCTTGCCCAAAGATACTTCAGCATGTAGTCAGCATGACTGAAGAAGCTGGGAATTGAACCACCAAACTCCCAATTATTAGATATTTGATTATTGCTCTACATCCTGAGCTGCAGGCACCCAGATGCTTCCCGGCAGAAGAAACTTAGTAAGAAACAAATGTCATCATGATTTATTTGTGTGCATGGCACCACAAGAGGGTGCTCACTAACTTTTCTTTGATATGCCAGGTGATTTCAAATGCAATGTTTCCAGTAGGTTAACAAACACCACACACAATTTCTTTCTGTGTGGTTTGGACCATAGACCATCTTTGTGCTAGCTAAAGGTCCAAAAAAAGTAATAACTTTACTCTTAAAGGCAAAATATACCAGAAAAAAGACACACAGGTGGGAAGATGAGAGATCGTCAAAGGTAACAAAAGCTCAGCAAGTGACATTTGATGCTCTGGAAATTTAATGTATTGTTCTGAATTAATTTAGATTCTTTTCAACTTGACCACACATGCTTTATATTAAGGTTTCTTTCAAACTGAGAAATGTCTTTGAAAACAAATTAAAAGATAATAATGTCATGATGTTCAGAGTTTATTATGCAATATGTGCTAGTTGGGCTGGTTTGCAGAGGCGGGCTATGTTGTACTGGTGAATGACAGACTGCGATATCCACAATCACTGCCATGTTAGGTCCTGATAGCAGAAAGAGACATTATAAAAGGAAGACATGGCACTGAAAGAATTCTGAATTGGAATTTGTGGTAGATTTTTGTAACCAAATAAATGGTTGTAGATACAATACAATTTATACAGCACGTTTAAAACCAGGGGGTACCCCAAAGTGCTTCACAGTAAGGAATGACGGTAAATGATTACACTGGACAGTAAGTCATTAAAACAATTTCAGTGAAAGCCTCAGTTACATACTGTATAGGGCCTGAAAATGTACTCTACCAATTGGTTGAGCAAAACTCTAAAAGGTTAAGAATTGTATTCATGTCTATAAATCTGTGAAGAAATCTTTGCTTCTCACTGACAATCTTTTAAGTAGACTACCTGTTAGGTTTAGACAAAAAAAACAAAACAACTTTCATTCTTAGCAAAACACCACAAAATCTCAAATTGTTTGTCACATGCAGATTTGAACAGTATTGTTATGACTATTGGTAGTAGTGTTATGACTCTGACTGTCATTCTTCGCAGCTTCAGTGAGTTCAAAACTGAAATCCACCGTGCGACCTTTGCCAGCTTTTACATTTTTCTCATCGGCCTCCACAACAAAAATGACCATGACAACACCACCAGCAACAACAGCAACGCCAGCAACAATATAAACAACACCAACATCACTACCACCAACAACAACAACACAGAATGAATGGCATGAATGGCACATCTGTTGAAGAAGGATTTTTATTTTTTAGAGAAGAATAAGGGGAAAGAAAGGTCTAGAACTACATATGTGAATATTTTTTTTTAAGTAAAATCCATAATAGGTCAAAGTATAGTAAGTAATAGAAGTACTGAATTATCAGGGACCTAGCAGAAAAACATACATTATATTCTAGGACTTTAACATGATTTAATCTAGTAAATATGTGATTTAAATGATTGTAACTTATGATTATCATTTTGTATTTAATTGTATTTTTTATAATGTTTGTTTTTTTTATTGATATTTTATTGACAGTTGCAGCAGCTTTTCAGCTGCCTGCCTCTGCTACATGTCATCAGATCAGGGTCAGCCTCCCCTGACACCAAACCCGGAACCCACTGCTCCACTCTGTCCTGCAGCTGAGCTGCAAACCACAACCTGCCAAAGTAGCATTTTCTTCTCCAGTCATAATTCTTTCATTTCCTGAAATGTAGTTCTTTACTGGAACATACACACACCCGATCTCAACGGGAAAAAAAAAATGCTGAATATCTATACTGTTGTGAATTGGGAAATGTGTTAGGAATAAAATGTTGCCACACCTTTTCATGGAAATGAAACCAAGAAATCGGCTCGTACGCATAACTGTATGTCAGGGCATGCTTTTAATGAGACAATGAATGATGTCCTATAGCAGGGGTCACCAACCCCCTGGGCCTCGGACCGGTACCGGTCCGTGAGTCGTTTGGTACAGGGCCGCGAGAGTTGAGGCTCAGGTGTGAAATGTATAGTTTTCAGGGTTTTTATCGTTATTTTGTTATCATTTTTATCGTTTACTCGGTTTTCCTGGGTCGTTTCACTTGTGTTATGAATAAATTTTCTTTTTTTCGGTACCGGTACTAGTTTTATTTTGTTGTATTTATCCGCGACACCTTAAAGGCCGGTCCATGAAAATATTTTCGGCATAAACCGGTCCATGGCGCAAAAAAGGTTGGAGACCGCTGTCCTATAGAATGCCCAGATGTGGACCAAAGCATCCTGATATCTAATGGCAGAAAGGGTGGTGTTATGTGCTTTCCTCCATGGATAGGCCTCCTCAGACCATCACTGACCCACCACCAAACAGGTCATTTCGAATGATGTTACAGGTACATGTCCATTCCTTCTTCAGATCCTTTTACATTTGTCACATGTTACCAGGGTGAACCTGCTCTCATAGTTAGAAAGCACAGGAGGTTACTAATGGACGTTCCAAGTACTGTAAATGCTAATCAGGTTCCACAGAACACAGGGCCCACGAGAGGACCTTGAACCCTCAGGCCACCCTTGTGAAGTCCATTTCTGATTGTTTAATTAGAGACATTCACACCAGTGGCTGTTGGAGTTAATTTTTTAAGGCTCTGACATTGCTCATCCTGTTCCTCCATCAGCAGGATGGGTTAAGGAACTTCTATGGCCCTGTCGAGCTCAGAGAATTGTATTAGTCAAACAGCTAACAGATCATCTGCAGAGGAATGGCTTATTTGAAGAGTTTCAGTCAGATTTCAAAGCTCATCACAGTACACAAACAGCTTTAGTGAAGGTCTTTCTGTGGCCTCTGACAGTGGACTCATCTCTGTGCATGTCCTGCTAGATCTTAAGTGCAGCTTTTCGAAACTGTTCACCATAATATTCTATTAGAACAATTGTCTATATACAGAACAGTATATAGAAAGACGAGACAATGAGGTTCCAGTTCCATTCAGTGCAAAAGACAAACAATAAATGGAACTTTTTTTTTTTTAAATCTAATCTAATCTAATAACTTTGATCTCAGCCAAACCGATTTACTCCGGAACAAATAAAACACAGAAAAAAGCCAAACAATTACATTTTTAAGATATCCGAGTGATTTATATATCATGTTTAACCTGAGTAGCAAAAGACAGCGGGGGTCTGAAAACGATAAAGCCGGGAGTCCGCTGCTCTCGCTGGCTCGAGTGACCATTGAACACCCCGGCTGGCTATCGAGCGAGCGGGTGGGTAAATGACATCTCCAAAAACGTCGGAGCACTTTTGCAAATATGTGATGTCTTGATAAATCAAGCAGATATTTGAAGTTTACACAGCTACTTTCTCGCTTGAAAATATATTAAAAGTTTATTTTGTGACCCAGAAAGATTAATAAGAGTGATATTAAAACTTGGCAGCAGCCGCCGTTCTTGGAAACTGGAATTGGCTGGGCTGCGCTATAAATTCTGGGATATGGTGTGCCACGAAGGACACACCTGGCCCAGCCTTCAAATTCGGGGAAAGGAAGAATGCATTTGTTGACCGCATTTTAAGGAGTCGACGAATTGGGACAGCCTTCGTCGCGTGGCTGTGACGTAATTGACCTTCAAATGCCCCCTCCGAAGGATGCAGCCTACGTTTTGGGACACAGCTTACACCTCTGTCAGTGCGCCCCAGGGTGGCTGTGGCTACAATGTAGCTTGCCATCACCAGTGTGTGAATGTGTGTGTGAATGGGTGGATGACTGGATATGTAAAGCGCTATATAAATACAGGCCATTTCTTGGCTGCTACTTCAATGCACTGTCGGTCCTGCGTGCTGCACAACAACCTTCAATATTTAGTATTTACTGTCATTTACTGTTAGCTACATTAATGTGATGGTGCTGTGTTTATTATGTTGCTCTCCTTTTTTGCTTGTTCTCACTTTGTTGTTCTTTTTTTTTTTTCTCAACAGGTGATCCGGGGGATTTCTTTTTATGTGTCCTTTCTCACTGTCTCCCTTCCCCTCTGTTTTTCTGTTACTTCATCTTTCTTTCTCCTTTTCCTATCCCCCAGCCATGTCTGTCCCGTCTGTAACAACTGAATATAAAATAAAATAAATAATAACAACAAAGGTCAATCAAATGGAACAAAATGGCAAGGCCGTTTGCCACTTGGCAAAGTAAATCCGTAGAGTATCTTTGTTGGCTTTCAGACATCAATTCTGACGGCTAAAAAACCAAATGGGACAGGCAGAAAAAGAGATGGTAATGTTCTATTTGAACTGAAAAAACTGCAGTACTGCCAGTCAATATATTAAGAATTTTGTTTTAATAAACCTTAAATGTCCAGCTTTGACAACCAAAATGTACGTTATTAGACAAAATTTAAACAAAAAGCCTGACAATAAAAATTACAGTACAGTATGTTAGTGGAAACAAAGCTTAAAGCAGAGGGGAGCCGTGTAAACGTGTAATGAAGGGAGGACCTCATCATTAAGAGAAGTGAGAAGTTTCTGGCTTGCAAGTGAAGAAGCGCAAAAGCATTATCCCATCAGAGCCTCGCTTTGAAAATCTGTCACACCTTGTGCTTCATCATCTTCTTCAGTGAATAAATAATTGTTTAATTCTGTCAATTTCTCAGTTCTCAGTGTTATTGGATTTTTTTTTACTATACTAATCATTACCCTTTGGTACTTGTTTAATGGATTTGATGTTTTGTGCTTGCGTTCAGTTTGAAATATTCCCTCAAGCATGCAGTTTGATAAC